CGCTCGTACCCTACCTATACCCTTAACCCCCCCCCCCCCCCCCCCCCAAAAGAAAAAAAAAAAGAAAAAAGAAGAAAGTAAATTAAATGAAAAGAGAAAAAGTGCATGTACCTTCATGAGTATCATATGGTTAAACAAGGAAACAGGTTGAAAAGGTTGTTAGGACCTATCAAATGAAGCTATCGGAATGATTTGTTGTTCCTTCTATAATCTAACATATACACCTTCTATCCAATTTAACTGTTTCCAACACTTTGCAAAACACATCTCCGAAAATACTTGTTTATGCAGGTTTTAAGTTCATAATTTCCAGGTTTACCCTGTCCCTTGTTTCATTCTAATAACCGATCTGACCATGACTTGAAATCAATATTCTTTCTCCTGAACTCCGGCTAGCTTTGTAACATTTGGTCAAGAAAGAGACTAAAGTAAAATTCTGCTCCAGCTGGCTTTCTGACATTTGTTAAAGATTTTGAATGAAGTATTAGATAAGTTGTCTGTAATAAGTTCAATGGAAATGTAGAACAATGTGTTATAGTTTCTGTTAGTTTGGTAGTTAAATAGTAGTAAATAACCCTAATCCCATATGTATTAGGAGTAGGACATGTATTATATATATATAGAGCTCATTGTATCATTGTCATATATGTGAATAATATATTTTACCGTGCATTCTCACATGGTATCAGAGCGGCAGTGAGAAAACATCCGGGAAAGAAAACCCAGCCGAAAAAACTCGTCATGCTTCAATTCCGGCGACCTTTTTAGGGCTGTTTTTCGTCAAACCAATTTCCATCGGTGTTGTGCAAAAACCAACACCACCACAAGGTCCCCCAACCTTCGGCGACCAAACCCCAACAAACACCTCCGGCGGCCGACATCTCACGCGCCTCCAGGCGCCGATCAGAGAGGTTCTTTTCCGGCGAGATCTACTCCACGCGCCGGCGCGTGGAGCACTTTTCGGCCACTTTTTGACGAAATTTCTTCGGAGCAGTTGGATCGCCCTCAAATACCAAGCCTACCCATAATTTTATTTTTTAATTCCGACCACCTTGAGTTTTTTCCGGCGACTACACTGATTTTTCCCGGCAGCTACAGTAATTTTCTGGCAAAAACAGTGTCTCCTTCGTCTGTTTCAGCGAGTTTTCAATTGATTCTTTCTATTATTTAGTGATAATTTTATAGACCTCTCTTCAATCCAACGATGTCTTTGGGAGATGATGCTTTCAGGTCTAAAAAACCCAACTCTGGCAGTTCCGGTGTTATGATTACCTCAGAACCTTTAATGGGACCTTCAAACTACTTAGCTTGGGATTCGTCTGTTGAGTTGTGGTGTAAAGGTCAAGGTGTTCAAGATCGTTTAATCAGGAAGTCTAGCGAAGGAGATGAAAAAGCCAAAGCACTTTGGGAGAAGATCGATGCTCCATTATGCAGTATTCTGTGGCGATCTATTGATTCCAAGTTGATGCCCTTGTTTCATCCATTCCAGATATGTTATTTGGTTTGGGAAAAGGCTCGCACTTTATACACTAATGACATATCTCGTTTCTATGATGTGATATCGCGGATGACAAATTTAAAGAAACATGAATTAGATATGTCTACTTACTTGGGACAAGTACAGGCAGTCATGGAGGAATTTGAAAAGTTGATGCCGGTTTCTGCTAGTGTTGAAAAGCAACAAAAGCAGCGACAAAAGCTGTTTTGCTTGGACTTCCTAATGATCTTGACTCAGTACGCAATCAGATTTTGGCTAGTCCGACTGTCCCTACAGTTGGTGAATTATTCTCTTGATTACTTTGCCTTGCTGCAGCACCAAGTCACCCAGTGATCTCATCACAGACACTTGACTCGTCTGTTCTCGCATCCCAGACAGTGGACAATCGGGCATCTCAAACTATGGAGAATAGACGAGGAGGAGGTCGTTTTGGAAGATCTAGACCCAAGTGCTCTTATTATCATAAACTTGGACACACTCGTGACGTGTGCTAGTCTTTACATGGTCGTCCACCCAAAAATGCTTATGTTGCTCAGACCGAGACTACAGGTAACCAGAGATTTTCTTTATCTGAAGGGGAATATAATGAGTTCCTTCAGTATCGATCAAGTAAGCAGACATCTCCACAAGTAGCCTCTGTTGCTCAGACTGATACTTCTGTACTGGTAATTCTTTTGCTTGTATTTCCCAGTCTAGTACTCTTGGACCATGGGTCGTGGACTCAGGCGCTTCTGATCATATCTCTAGTAATAAATCCCTTATGTCAAATATTGTATATTTTACCGTCTCTTCCCACTATTGCTTTAGCCAATGGGTCTCAAACTAAAGCACAGGGAGTTGGACAAGCTAATCCCCTACCTTCTGTCACTCTAGATTCCGTTCTTTATGTCCCTGGTTGTCCTTTTAGTCTTGCATTTGTTAGTCATTTGACTCGTGCCCTCCATTGTGGTATATATTTTATCGATGATTCTTTTGTTATGCAGGACCGCAGTACGGGACAGGCGATTGGAACAAGGCTTGAATCAGAAGGCCTTTACTACCTTAACTTACTCAATTCCTCCTAAGGCATGTCTAGTTACAGATCCTCCAGACCTAATTCACAGACGTTTAGGACATCCAAGATTATCCAAGCTTCAGAAGACGGTGCCTAGTTTGTCTAGTTTATCTACATTAGATTGTGAGTCGTGTCAGCTCGGGAAACATACCCGAGCCTCCTTTTCTCGTAGTATTGAGAGTCATGCAGAGTCTGAATTTTCTTTAGTTCATTGTGATATATGAGGTCCTACTAGAGTCAGTTCAACCTTGGGATTTCGTTATTCTGTTAGTTTCATTGATGATTATTCAAGATGTACCAGGGTTGTGAAAAACGCTCGCTTAAAGCGAGAAGCGAAGCGAAGCGACCCCGTACCCGCTTCTGCTATATGAAGTGACTCAGGTTGACAAAAGCGTGCGCTTCCCACTAAAAAGCGAGAAGCGACGAAGCGAAGCGAATCGAGCAAAGTGTGCGCTTCTTTGTTTTAAACAGCTGCCAGCCTATTTAATTAAAAAAGAAGGGTGTTCAATGTTCTTTTATTAAAACATAACTAGCAGCAACAGCAACTAGGGTTCCCTTTTCAACTTCAATAGAGATTCAGCAGCAACAAGTATGTGATGATTTCTTTCTTTCTTCTTCTTCTTATTTTCTTCTTCTTCTTTTTCTTTTATTTTCACTGTTTCAACGTCCAAATAGCAGGGAAATGCTAGCGAATTTTTTTTTTAACCTTCGGTTCTTCTTTCTAAGTCTTCTTCTCTCCGCTGAAATGCTGCCCAGTTCTTCTTTCATTGTTTTTGTGCTGCCCAGTTTTTAACAGAATGGTATATTGCCCTTCCTCTTATTTTAATATTTTTTTAAAATTCCGCTTCACTTAAAAAAAGTGAGTGCTTCGCTTCTCGCTTTAAGCGAAATGGGGGTTGTCGCTTTTCCTCGCTTCACGCTCTTCACAACACTGAGATGTACTTGGATTTTCTTAATGAAAGATCGTTCTGAGTTGTTTTCTATATTCCAAAATTTTTGTGCTGAAATCAAAAATCAATTTGGTGTTTCTATTCGCACTTTTCGCAGTGATAATGCCTTAGAATATTTATCCTCTCAATTTCGGCAATTTATGACTTCTCAAAGAATTATTTATCAGACCTCTTGTCCTTATACCCCTCAGCAAAATGAGGTTGCAGAGAGAAAGAATAGGCACCTCATTGAGACTGCTCGCACACTTCTCATTGAATCTCATGTTCTGTTGCTTTTTTTTGGGCGATGCAGTTCTCACAACTTGTTATTTAGTTAATCGGATGCCTTTATCTCTCATCAAGAATCACATTCCGTATTCAGTATTGTTTCCCCAGTCACCCTTATA